TAATAATTTATTAAATTTATATGCCACCCAACTATCAGCAGCTTTGGGCAATTTTTATACTTGATTTTTAAATATACTTTATTTCTTTACTAAAATTTATTTTTTGATCATATCAATTGCATAAAAAGGTTTGGATTTATTTGTTTGCTTGTTTTGCCCAACTTTACATTTTATTATACTGCCAAAAATTCCTTTTGTAAAAGTTATCTGAGAAACCAAACAAGTAAGTTTATTCAATAATAATCTTAGAGTGAATAATTTGCCCAATAAATTACAACCCTCTGCATTTTCCTCATTGTTATAAAGACACGTTTGGTTAAAATTTACATTTTCTGTATTTTCTTTGGAGAATTATTTACAGTTAATTTTTAGCTAGAGAGATAGGGAGCAAACTCATGTTAGTATTTGAGGGCAAAAACTGCATGGGCAGAGGTTAATATTGTATCTTGGAATAATTGACAGTAATTCACCCGACAAAGTAAATCTTAAAAAGAATTTGTTCTTTGCTTCCTTACACATGCCATAAATGAGGATCTGTCACCCCCAATCTCCTCCTCCTATTTCTCAGGAACCTCTTAGATAGAATCGCTAAAAATAGATGGTGCCATTTCCCAACATTTTATGGTGGGTAACAGATGAAAACTACAATGTAAGTAAGTCTGCCTGTCCCCTCCCCCCCCCCCCCCCCGCAAAAAGCAGCTTCCATTTTAGAGGTTAATAGATTTGAAAAAGTAGTACTGAAATGACAGAATTGAAGCATAGATAGAAATTGTACAGTGTTATTCAAATGTGCTAATTCTTGCCAGGATGTATTGAATGTGTCTACCAGCTAAGGTTGATGTAATACAAGTTGTCCGTACTTATGCTTAATTTACTTTTCCTGCTTAATTATAGCAAATGAAGAGGACGTTATATACTGCAGTGTCAATTTTACAGTAGTATATAAATACAGTGATACCTCGGGATATGAACGCCTCTGCTTGCGAATTTTTCGGGTTACGACCAGCTCTGGCCCCAAAATTTTACCTCGGTTTGCGAACTCCGCCTCGGGATACGAGCCATTTTCCGCCCGTGCCACGTGGTCCGCGGCCATTTTCTGCCCGTGCCATGTCGTCCGCGGCCATTTTCCGCCCGTGACACGGGGTCCGCGGCCATTTTTCCGCCCGTGCCACGTGGTCCGCGGCTGTTTTTCCGGCCCTGCCACGTGGTCCGCGGCCGTTTTCGCACTGTGCCGGGCTGTTTTCGCACC